TTATTAGATATATAGTGCTTTAGAAGATTTAATTGTTGTGCCAAGATGCCTTTTGTCTCCATATCCTTATGGTGGTCCCTAAATTACCTGGGCACTCCCAACCTCTCTCTCTCAAATGACAAAGTCCACACTGGACTTTGTCTCTGTGCACAAGAAATACTTTATTGAGAAAGAGGCTCTCACTGTGACTTGGAGAATGGCCCAGTTGCTTTGACAGATCTTTAACTAACTTCTCTGCTTTCTGCTCCATGACTCACTCTAGCTACTAGCTCCTACTAATTCTGAGCTATTTCTGGGGCTGTATTTGGAAGATTTAAAATCATTTGTCCAATATCCTTCTCTTATTCCCATGTTAGCAGAGTGTGGGGTCCACAATTATAACTTCCATAAATTTCTTATTGTTGCTGAAAGATTATATGACAGTGGTTTACCATACAGACTGCAGAGTCAGACTGCCTGGCTTGGACAAGCTCTTAACCTCTCTGTTGCTCTGCTTACTAATATTTTAAACTTGGATAATAATAGTACCTATTTTGTAGAATTATTTAAGAAGTTTAATACATGCAAACTGTTTAGTGCAGTTGCTGGCCCATTGAAAGCACTGAATATCTATTAGCAATTATGTTTCTCTGGTCTGCTGGTGATATCTTTTCTGGCTTTGTAGCACTGTTCTGGATTTTTTTCTTCGTAGTTTTACATTTTTTCTGGCATTTTAGTGGGATGTTGGAAGGAAGATGAGCTTAAATACATTGGCTCAGTTTGTCACCCTGAACTGAAAGGGCACTTTGCATTTGAAAATAATAAAAATGAACATTCTAGGTTGTTAATTTTCTACCATTTTGAATTTCACATTCTCTTGATTTGCTTAGAATTGCACAGCTGTAAGAAACCTTAGAGATCATGTAATAGAACACTTTCACTTTAAAGATGAGCAAAGAAATGAGAAATAACTTCCCTAAGGTAGCAAATCTTTTTAGGGAAAGATCTTATGCAAGAATCATGGTCTCTTGCCTCCTAGTCCAATTCCCCTACCACTAAAAATAAGTAATAAATATCTACCATAGTTGCCAAGGTTATAAATTCCATATGTCTGTGCCTGTCCTATGCCCATTTCCTTCTCCTATTTAAAGCCAATCCTTCCACCTGGACTTTGATCCCATCCTCTCCTCCTGCTTTCTCCAGAATTTTATATTACTAATAATTCCTTCTTTTTGTAGTATATTCAACCTCTTGTTCTTAACTGGATTCTTTCCATTGGCCTTTAACAATGTTGAAATCTACCACTTTAAGAAAAATGAACAGCAAACTTATTTGACACTTCACACTCTCACTACCAGATTCTGCTCTATCTTTTCATAGTCTTTCACCTCCAAACTCCTGCAAAGTACTCTCCACATTGTCAGTGCTTTCCTCTTCTTCCATCCCACTTGAATCTGCCTCTGACCTCACACTCCAGCAAACGTCTCTCACTAAGATTACTTTTGACCTCCATGCTACTAAATCCAACAGAAATTTTGCAGGCATCAGATTTCCCTACTTCTCAGAAGATTTTGACCAATGTGACCAGTTCCACCATCTTGAAACATGTTCTTCTTTGGGCTTTAGGATATGAACATTCTCCTAATTTTTATCCCACCTCCTTGCCCATTTTTTCACAGTAATGTTTGCTGGCTCATCACTTCTACTTGGCCAGTAAATGCTGTGGTTACACAAGGATTGGTCTTAGTTATTCTTTTTTTAGAAAAGAAAAGTTAACCTTTATTCTTTTTTAAATTTACCTTTATTGTTCAAAGTATTACACACGTCCCCTCTATTTCCCCCATTGATCCTCTCCACCTTGTATCCGCCCCCCACAGTCCTCTACACTATTGTCTACGTCCATGTGTTATGCATATATGCATATAAGTTCTTTGATTAATCTCTTGTACTCTCCTTGGATGAGTTAGAGTGCAAGACTTCAATAGCCATCTATGTACCAGCCCCCAAATTTATATCTCCAACTCAGACCTCTCTCCCTACTGAAAAATGTCATCTCTTCTTAGATAGCTGAAAAACTCCTCAAAATCAACATGTTTAAACAGAAATCTTTATTTTCTTTCCTAAAGATGACACTCTTGAAATGTTTCATAGCTCAGTGAAAGGTACACTCATCAATCAAGTTATGCAACCCTCAAACCTAGGACTAATCCTTGGTAGTCCTCATTCCTTGTATCAGCTCAGTACCAAATCTATCAATTCTATTTTCTAACTACATCTTAAATCCATCCACTTCTTTCTACTTCCATGTCCTTGCTCCAATCCCTAGTTGCTGCTACCATCATCTCCCCACTAAGCAAATAGCCCTCTAACTGGTCTATTCACATCTATTTGCTCTCTCAGTCCTTTGTCTATACTGCAGCCAGATTGATGTTTTCGAAATGCACATCTGATTTTGTCACTTCTCTCACCCTCCCCTTCCCCACACTCCTCAGCACATATCTCTGTAAAACACTGTAAAAGCTTCTTGTTATTCTTAGGAAAAAGACAAAGTTCCTTTATATGGCCTGCAAAGCCCTTCTTGCTCTGGCTCCTGTTTATGTCTTCAGTTCATCTTGCACCATGTTCCCCACCACTGTCTGCATTCTAGATGCACGTGGCTTCCTTTTTTTCCTGTTGAGCATAATTACCAGACACCTCTTATCATGGGGCTTTTGCACTGGTGGTTTTCTCAGCTGGGAACACTCATTCCTCCCTTCTTTGCTTGGTTAACTCCTTCGCCTCTCAGATCTCAGCTCAAGCATTATTTCCACAGGGAAGACTTCGGATGCAGTCAAGTTTCCTTATCAGAGTTCTCCTAGTACCAGATATTCATTTATTACTATTGCAGCTGTACATTTGTGTGAATACTTCAGTAATTTCTCTCTTCATTCACTCAACAAATATTTACCAAACCCCTTACTATATTCCAGGCATTATTTTAGAAGGGGCGACAAACTGTAAAGAAATAAATAATATGACGTCAAGAGGTGAAAAGTGCTATGAAGAAATAAAAAGTGGGGTAACAGGACAGAGCATTTGAGAGGCTGCTCCTTTGGATAAAATGCTTGGATAAGGCTTCTTAGAGGAAGTGACTGAGCAGAGATCTGAATGAAGCAAGAGAGCAAGTCCTGAGGATGTCTGCGGTGGGTGTGGGTAAGCATTTTAGGGAGAGGAAATAGAAAGGGTAAAGACTAGAGGGTATTTAACCAGTTTGAGGAACAGCCAGGAATTCAGTGGGGCTGGAGTGGAGCAAAGGGGAGAGTGGTAAGAGATTAGGACAGAGAGTGAGGTAGGGGCCAGGTCGCGCAGGGCGGTGTAGCCATGAAACAAGGAGAGAAGTCATTGGAAGCTTTTAAAGAAGGAGTGACTGAGCTCTACCTCTGAGCTATAGTTAATAATATTGTAGTGCATATTTGAAAGTTGCTAAGAGAGTAGGTCTTAAAAGTTATCATCACAAGAAAAAAATTTGTAACTACATATGGTGGTAAGGTGACATGTTAACTAGACTTACTGTGGTGATCATTTTGCAATATATACAAATATTGAATCATTATGTTTTACATCTGAAACTAATATAATGTTATATGTCGATTATATCTCAATTTTAAAAAATCTATCACATAGGGGGAAGAAAAAAGGAGTGACTGACATGATCCTGTGCATATTCTAAAATGATCTCTGTGATTGTTTGGGGTGAATGGATTGGAGAAGGTAAGGGTGGGAGTAAGAAGTCCAGCTGAGGCTGTGGCCGTGGTCCTGGGGGACTAGGGTGAGCATGATGAAAAAGAACAGATTGGAGTGCATTTTCAAGGTAGAGCTGTAAGGATTTCGATGTCTTCCTCCAAACTCATTGGTTTAGAGGAAAAGTCAAAAGGCTTAACCTGATTGATGAGGCCCTATGTGATCTGCCCCCTCCCTTACCACCCCCCTCCCTTAACTCCTCGCTCTTCTGTGAAGAGACAAAGCATGATCTTACTTTTTACATGTGATGTCCCCTGAAATATCAGGACAGCAGGTATCAACATGGTTTTTTCCCCTCTCGGGGTTCTGCTCAAATTTCTTCTTATCAGAAAATCCTTCTCTGACCACCCTATATAAATTAGCACCTCACCTTAGCACTCTGTCTGAATTTTCCTGATTAATTTCTCTTTGTAATACTACTGCCAACTCACAGGTACATATAATATATATATGCATATGTATATACAAACATATAACGTGTCTGTATTTATTCCATGAAGGCAGAGATGTGGTCTGTTTTGCTCATTATAGAACAGAACTCCCAGAATAGTGCCTGGCACACAGTAGTTATTTAATAAATATTTGTTAAATTAATATTGTTGAAACAGAGAACAAGGGGAACAAAGAATGGCTTCGGGGTTTGGGGCCGGAATGATGATATCACTTCCTGAAGTAATATTGGAGATTTTTTAAATGAGAATTGGGACCCTCTGCTCCAAACCTCTAGCTGGAGTCCCTGGACTGCTTCCTCTATTGCAGGTTCAGCGATGTCCTGACTTCCTCTGGGGCCCACAGAAGCCTGTGACAAGTCCAGAATCCTGGGGGCCTGGGCTCCCCTTCCCTTACCACAAGGAAAGAGGGAGAAAATAGTAATGAATTAAATGGACTCTCTCAATTCCTGAGACTCAGAGTGGCATCAGTTTGATCCAAGCCCCACAAATGACGTTTCAGATTCAGATGTTATTGACTCTGTGTGTGGTTTCCTGGCAAGCAATTGGCTGCTTACTTCAAGAGACAACATTGCTAAGTGCTTTTTTTAATGCAAAAAGAAAGAAATAAAAAAGAGCACCTATTTTCCTCATTCCTGCAGGTGCCCAACCCGATTGACTTGTTGGAGTGCATTTTCTGCATTCTTAATAGATAGCTAGCAGGAAATGCCTTGTATAGCCCCACTAGAGTGGCAGCAAGCAGCAAGGGGAGGGTACAAAATCCTCAGCCCCTGCTTCCGTAAGCACTGAGCTGCTTTAAAAGGGGCCAGGCAGCTCTGGCCATCAAAACGGACCTTTGACCAGCCATAGTTCAGCATCTGCATCTTGCACAGGCTCAGCTGATGGTCAAGAATTAAGGTAGGAGAAGCTAGGGACTTTTTTTGGTTAAGGAGGG